TCAGCAGACAAGTGTCTTTACCTGGTCATAGCCTGTTGTGTACTGGCATTTCTCCTGATAGCAGTGTCATGCTGTTTTGCGTGTAGAGAAATTAAGCATCGTAAGCAAGGTAACATGCTGTCTCATGATCAACAATGCTCAATAAGCAACTGCGTCATTCACAGAATAACATAATTGGATGGTGAAGTTAAAAAGTGTTGGTTCTGCTGTATCTTTTCTATATTTTTACAGGTTCACGTGTGCCTGAGAATCTTTCCCTTAATTAACAAGTTGACTGAGCTGACCTCTCCAATAATCAACACTGGACACTGAACTAAAGATTCCTGAAAATGGAAAAAAAATCAAACGACAAAAAAAGCAATCAGGAGGTGACTGTGATATTTTAATTTTGTATCTGTATATACTGAAAAAGACTTGTTGGGGTTTTGTCTGTATTATTGTAGGGCCTTTACTGTGCAATATAACACAGATTGAGGCGACTGTAATTGTGATTTGGTGCAATACAAATAAAACAGCATGGAAATTGATTAAAAAACAGTGAACTGTAAAAAATGTATACTTGCTGACCAGTGCAGAAGGAGCTTTGAAATCATATTTTTTTTAGGTCACATCAATTATCCTGTGTCCCACTTTCTTAAACAACAATAAAAACACTCTTTTAAGTTAATGCTAAAAGCAAAGCAAAACAAAACAAATACAGCAATGTGAAACTTTTTTAACATAAAAATGTATCATATTGTACTTAAAACAATATTTAATATTTCTCAGGGAATGTCTTTTCTTTCATTACAAATATATTCACTGACAAAAATTGTTTCTGTAATTGGTTATTCCTGTACTGCAAATATTACAAATCAAAGATTATCAACATGTAGACGATTAAAAGGTTTATTTCTAAAGTTCGTCTGAAGCCTGATTATGTAACACTAAAGTAAAAAAAAAATAAAAAAATCCAAATTTAGATATAATTTTTCTTTATGTATAGCATTATACTTTTAATATAGAAATATATTAATATATATATTAAATATATATATTAAACCGGGCAGCACGGTGGCACGGTGGTTAGCACTGTTGCCGCACAGCAAGAAGGTCCTGAGTTCAATTCCACCATCAGGCCGGGGTCTTTCTGTGTGGAGTTTGCATGTTCTCCCCGTGTTTGCGTGGGTTCTCTCCGGGTACTCCGGCTTCCTCCCACCGTCCAAAGACATGCAGCTTGTGGGGATAGGTTAATTGGATAATCCAAATTGTCACTAGGTGTGAATGTGCGAATGAATGTGAGTGTGAATGGTTGTCTGTCCCTGTGTGTTGGCCCTGCGACAGACTGGCGACCTGTCCAGGGTGTACCCCGCCTCTCGCCCTATGACAGCTGGGATAGGCTCCAGCGCCCCCCGCGACCCTGAAAAGGATAAGCGAATGGATGGATGGTTATTAACTGTTATTTTATTAACATCACTTTACTTTGTTTATTGTGTTCTTGCAAACAATAAAATTGATAAAAATAAATAAAGTTTTAGTAATTGTAAAACACTGGTATAAAATTGTTGTAACTGACAGGACTGTATGTGACTGTAGGGAAATGGGGCAAGATAAATCAAAAGGAATAACAGATCAAAATGAGCTTCTTGTGGAAGATGCTGCAGGCATGCCTGTGGTTTGTATGTTGACATGTTTCACTTCCTTCCAACTATAGTAACTGTTTACAATGAAAATCACTCCTTGTACGGTGAAACTTAACATGGAATCTCAGAACATGGAACGCAGAAAATATGAAGTGCTGCGATTCCAGTTTTTTGATTGTTGCAACACTTCATGTCAGCACAGTGGCCTTTAAATAAAGTAAATAAAATAATGAAGAGAAAATTTTTCAAATTTCAACTAATATATTCAAAATTACATGTGTTGAGTTCACCTATTCACCTATCTACAACTGATTGCTAACAGGAAAGTAGACAGGAAAAAACAGAAGCTGCAGATGGGTTTAAGGTGATGAGTGGTTTAAGGTGTGTCCTTCGCACTTCTTTGAAACATGCAACAGATACTGTATCAAGTATAATCACTGCATACATTTTGAGGTCATGCTTTGTGTTGTGTTATTTGGATTAGAGAATGACTATTCTATGCTATCAAAAACAAAATGTCTTATAAATACAACTGTCATGTAACTGTGTGAAGCAGCCAGAGTTGAGAACCCAAATGTAGACTCACAGGCAAAACTAAACTGAAATGTAGCTTTTTTGCTGAATTACCAAATATGCTAACCAAGGAACTCATAAGAAAACTAAACTGAGATATATTAAGCAGACGGCACGCACACAGACGTGGAGGATAAGAGAAATCACGACAAGAAACAGAAGGAAATGCAGACAATTTATACAAAGGAAATAAGTGCAGAGGGGAAACACCTGGGAAACAGGGCTGGACATGATCTAACTGGCGAGACAGCAAACAACTGAACGTAATGGACACAGGACACGTGACTATCAAAACAAAACAGGAAGACACGAGAAACCCACACTGAGACCCAGACTGACTAAAAACAGGGAGCAGAGGGAGGAGACAGAGACAAGACTAAGGAAACAGATAAATACAAAGGGCACGACTAACTCTCAGAGGAGACACAGGAACGAGTCAAAGGTACAAAAGGAACCTAAAAAAAAGAAACTAGAAATACAAATAAACTCAATAAAGGAACTAAACTGTACAAAACAAACTTAAATCGTCTTCCTCATGCAAGGAAAGACTCATGAAACTAGAATAAACTCAAATCGCTGGGCCAACGACTCAGGATCATGACAACAAACTCACTATAATTATTACTTGCAGCTGAATTTGAATTAATTATGACGTCAAGTGAAAGCTTTCTGTGGTTCAACTGGAACTGGTGCCAGTGGATAACAAATGTCAGCGAACATTTCAAATACAGTGCACAACTAACAATAAAAATTCAGTAATACCTTATTACGTAATACGATTATGACTCATTCGGTATACATATGGGTAGGTGTGAGGTTTCCCTCTATTGGTTTTTAAAGGCGTTGCGTTTAAAATTGTACTTGTATAACCCTCCACCTACCAAAAAGTAGAACAACAAAACCAAAAACCGAGCAGGAAAAGGTCAGCTTTTTTTTTAAAAAACTTAACCACAACACACTTTCCACCAGCTGCTGTTTAAATTGTGTCACAGCAAAGAGCCTGTACTTTTCAGCTCTGCTTGTATGAATTGATACATTTGATATAGTGGACCTTAAAATAATAATTTATGTCTTGAGCAATGCTTTGGCATCCGAGCGCTGCTCTAAATCGGTTCCATATCTGACAAACTGGTCCTCTTCTATAAGGCCCTGAGGCTGAAACTTGGCTTTCACATAATGATGTCACTCTTAAAGCTGAAATCCTGGTTTTTAATGCCATTAACCATCAGCTTAGCCCCCCCAAAAGAACCTCGGTAAAATATTTAATTTCTCTCAAAAATTCGACTTGGAGATTCAACTTTTTATCAAAGCTCACTTCTTTAGAACTTTATCACCACTTTTATCACATCCTGGATTACAGTTCTTATTTACTGTTGTGTATCTCCATTTTCCTAATTAGATTTCAAATAAACAATAAGTAAGACTAGAGACCTCGACTATGATAAGAAAATATAAAGAAAATCCTAACCTGAAGAATACAAACTAAGAATTCTAAATCCTGGGTCCAATACTGTCCAATGTCCAGTTCTTGTTAATTCAAAGATGAAGCAAAGAGACAACTGCTTTTTTCAGTTTCAGAGAAAGAAGTGTGATGCACATAATAATGCTACTCTTGGTCAAAGTTTTTACACATCCTCCTCAGAAGTTGATCGCTAACAGGATGCTGTTGGAAGCTGTTGCTGACTGTGTTAACACACTAAACGATGACAAAGATCAATTTTCTTAAGCTGCTACTATTACTTAAGCTACAACAGCAATGACCACTCAGCTTTATCACAATCAGATACGTGACTATTGCATTTGATATTGCATAAAGAAGACATGATTCCTGGTTTACTTAGCAATTGTTGATAATTTTGCTAGTTGTACTGTCATCATCTTGTTAAAAAACAAGAGTTAAAAATTCCTCAGTTTTATTCACAGATCTTTTTTGTACAGTTTTTGGCAAACTTACATATTAGATAAAAATGTATCATTTATTCCTTTGTTTTCTAAAAGTTGAACTGAGCTAGATGTCATTTTATAATTATTTTACTACATTGTTACTACATTTCTAATTTTTTTTTACACCTACACTTTAACAGTGTGTTTGTAATGTGCATGTAATGTGTATGTCTGCTTCCACTAAGGAAGCAGACAATCTGGCAGATTTGCTCAAGCTCAAGTGGGACCTTAAATGCAGGTTGTAAATGAGGCTGATGAGAAACAGGTGGTCAGGCTGAGGCGTGGAGAGGAGCCTCTGCTCAGCTTCTCCTGGACTCAGGGAGTGTTAAAGACTCCAAACAACAACAACAACCCTGTGCAGAAATATGACTTCAGGCTGGGTTGAAGATTTAAGGTGGTTATACAACTTAAATGTATGCACTGATGTTAGAATGTTGCAATCTCTATTTTGCTTTTTATGCTGCCTTTATTTCCAGTTTTTCCAGCAAATATTAAAGAATTTAGAAGTGCTTTTCACACACTTCTGTAGGTCAAAAAAATAAAATGTGATGAATATAAATATTTTATTCATGCCAATATTTTAGAAGCATCTTATTGGAAACTTAAAAAATACAAAAAACAAAACCATTTGAACAAAACTAAGGGAAGTAGGTGAAGGCCACTTCACTTTTTTAACTATCAAGTTAAAACTGGTCCTTATTTTTACACTAGTTTTGTGTTTGCTGCTGCCATGAATACAAACAGTAATGATTTAAAGCCTTTAACTAAATTAAGATAAGATAAGATAAGATAACCTTTATTATTTGTTTTGTTACAGCACAAAGTGGACAGTGCACAGTTAGATAGCAAAAATTTGAAAAACACTGGAATAGGATAAGAATAAGAAAAAGATACTGTACACAAATGTACACAATAGAATAGAATAAAATAAAATATTATACTGTATACAATAGAATAAAATAGAATATAAATACTATATACAACTGAGTAGAAAATAACAACGTTGTCAGAAAAAGAGTACTGCACTTAGTGTTGTTGCACATTTGTGGATGTGTGTGTTTGGTCAGTTGCGAAGTTTTGTGAGAGCCTGACAGCAGAGGGGAGGAAAGACCTTCGAAATCTCTCCGTCCCACACCGTGGGTGCCGCAGCCTGCCACTGAAGGAGCTGCTTAGTGCTGTCAGAGACTCCTGCATAGGGTTGCAGATGCTGTTCAACAGTGATGACAGCTTAGCCACCATTCTCGTGTCACTCACCACCTCCTCTGGGTCCAGAGGGCATCCAAGAACAGAGCTGACCCTCCGGATCAGCTGTTCAGTCTCTTCCTGTCCTCAGCAGAGATGCTTCTGCCCCAGCAGACCACACCAAAAAAGATGGCCAAGGCCACCACAGAGTCATAGAAGGTCTGCAGGAGTGGGCCCTTCACTCCAAAAGACCTGAGTCTCCGCAGCAGGTACAGCCTGCTCTGCCCTTTCCTGTAGAGGGCGTCTGAATTATGAGTCCAGTCCAGTTTATTGTTCAGGTAAACACCAAGGTAGCTGTCCACAGCCTCAATATCCATAACTTGACTGTTTAATGGTTGCAGTGGAGGATGTTTGTGTGTGCTGAAGTCTACCACCAGCTCCTTGGTTTTAAATGCAAGAGCTTGAATTTATATATTTCCTTTTTTTTTTTAAAATCAAAAACCTTTCAGGTAATTCTCCTTGTATGCGTTGTCACATGCTCTGGCGTTTTGATCACGCACTGTTTTGTTAATGAAAGC